GGGGTAACAATATTAGCGTTGTGCTGAAGTAGCGTACGAGCGTGTATTGTACACCTGTTTACAGTATCCATTCTTTACCTCCAGGTAATAAACATGCCAACTTGATTTTAGAATCCAGCCATACTGGCGATCTCTCTACCATGCCCTGACTTACTCGTGCGCCAAACTATCAAAATGACAAGAAGATTAGAATGATGTAAAAGATATCCATAACGTCCATCCATGTTAAGTATCTACATTTTTCTGTCGCTTTTCCCAACACTCCCATCAGCGCACACACTCCCACCAAATGGATCTATACCCTCGGCGTCTCTGTATCCCACACAATGACTTCTCCATCTTTTGCAATAGAAGCCAGATTGTCTGTTCCTGGTGCCTTTATAATATCCACCACATCGCTATGATGTCCAGTCATTGAGTGCTTTAAATACAATCGTGTGGTCGGTCGTGTGCTATCGAAAAAGTCGGTCAAATTTATGGTATAGCAGTTGATACGACCATGAGGACTCTGCGCTATAAGAGTCAAGTCTGCTGGGAATATTGTAGCTATAAAATGAAGGAAACGAGATAATAAAAAATAAGTATTAGTGGGCCTAAATGGCTTTCGGTCGAAATTGACGCTTACTGAATAGATGCCTCTGGGTAAATGATTGCCAGAACCTCTTGTCCACTTGTTTCACTCACATTTTGTTTTCAATCCTGAATGATCATGGTACACCGACACACTGCCCGAGAAATAGACTGCATCCAGTGGGAAAAGAGCTTGTGCCATTCGCAGCAAAACAAGGACCCTGACTATACGCCGTGGCCTAGCATTCAAGTTCTTATTAAATGCGACAGTAGGTTAGTCTATAATCAAAGTAAATTTTATAACTAGAACGCGTAAGAGCAAATTAACGCATCTTCCATTCGCCATACCTGTATCGCCCATATTATCATGCTTCCATCTTTTTGTACTTGATACATCAAGTCCGGTGTATTGTTGGCCAAACTTGTTAGCCGTCTCACTAAATTTCCGACTCCATTTTGCCCCTCTCCTTCCAATGCGTCCAACGCCAATCGTACTGCGCTAACAAACTCGGCTGCATGTATCCAATGTATGGGAGTAGCCAATACCTCATTATCTGTTGACGAGAATAAAGAGGGAGACGCGGAGGAAGGAGAAGTAGGTGAAGGAGGAGGAGAAGGAATGGCTACGAGAAATTGACTGGGATCGATAACAGCGGCTACATATAAAACGCAAGGTTCTTCCGGGTTGGTAGATGACCATATTCGACAAATACCATCTCTGCACATTGTAAATAGAGTATTCTGGCCGGGTGTCCTAAACAAAAAATAATATACAAAGCATTATCCAATACTATTCGCACGATCCGTTCTCGTTTAATGATTATTCATTACGGAAACATCGCGCCATTGTCACTAATTACCTCATTTCATCTGTTCCGAGTCTCCAATTCAAACTAGTCACAGCCCCCGGATGACTCAAATATTCAAATTCGTACGCGCGCGCGTTATTCAGAGATTGCCACCAGATCTTCACCATTCGATCATACTATTTATTCGGCAACTATATTTAGTTTGAACACTTGAGATATAACATTTCGAGATATCAAAGCAGGGGGAAAGGGTTCGAAGATAGGAAGATGGAATCAGGAGATGGGGTGCGAAAAACGAGAAATAGAAATTAACGATACCTTGCCTACTGTTGCGACTAGAGACGAATCCGGCGATACCTTAATGAGTGTTACGTTAGAAGCAACACTGAAAGTTGACCAGACAGTTTATATTGTACAATCGCGTAATTAATAAGCAATTCACGCCGAATTCTATACCGCACATAGTTTCTTTACTGACTCACCTTCGTTCGTATTCTTTTGTCCATGATGAGGTCGTATTTCCATCAATGTCACACTTCCACAAAGAGATTTTCCCACCTCCAACCCAAAGTTCATGTTTATCTAGCAGCAATACCCCGCGCATTGATCAATATTTATCGTACACGTTACGAAAAAGTCATTCGTTCTCGGCGCAAATCGCCTGCATCCCCTCACCATAGTTTAGACTCCATGATGTAGAACACACGGGACTGTCATGTCTCAATATTGCATTCAATATCCATTGCGTCTAACATGAAAAGACGATTACACTCAATAGCAGTAAAAAGAGAACGTGACCAATAAACATAAATTTCATTACTTACCTCATCTTGGCCGCTTTGCTTGTTAGGACAGAATACGAGCACGTATGACTCGATAGTTACAGCAAGCTGTAAAAACAGTACAATGCGATAGCAAGGTAAAAGGAAAAGAAATGTCAGTGAAGTTATTTGAAAATAGATAAGTGTATAAAACAAGTGTTGTAATAAATTGCTCCGGTTAAAGCATGGATCACAATACTAACACACTCGATCATACCTGTCCGTGAGTATTTGACAATTCAACGGATATTACTTTACATTCCGGCGATGTAACAAGATCGACCAAGAATTCTCGTACACATATTGTTTGTATATGTTTAAAATGTCCATCATATATAACAACTTTGTCAGCAGTACCGAATACCTAAAATCACGATTTTAGTAAATACGAGTCGAGCGAAGGACAAATTTACCAAGTTGATACATACAATGTATCGAGAGTTGTTCCATAATGCGGTATAGAATTCGGCGTGAATTGCTTATTAATTAC